CCGCCTGCTTTCCCAAAGCAATCCGCAGCATTCAAACTTAAACAATTGGCAAAAATCAATAGGCGCAAATAGAGCGAAAATTCCTCTAGCCAATCTTTCTTTTGGGGAACTCCCCTTAATGGAAAAGTCAGCGTTGGCCAGCAGGAGGCGCCGATCTAAGTCCCATTGATTATTCTTAGGCGTACATTTAATCAATTTCCAAGCACTATCATTGCCTAAAAACCACAGCCATTTCCTCCTCAATGTATCCCCGCTCGCATAACCCACATCACCATCACTTGAAATGATCATCTCTTTTTCCTGCAGCTGTCGAGACTGACCCGAACCGAGCTCCAGATTGCGACACCACCCAATGCACGCTTCCCGACTGCTTCTGTTCAGCTGATGGAACCCGAATTCCTGGCGCTTTGGAACCCGCCAATGTGCCCCAGATGATCACCATCACCTTCAACGGCGCTGTTAATGTGGACAACATCGATCTGTACGACGAAGTCTTCAACGGGCAAAGAGCCAACCCGAACGGGTGCCAAATCAGAGGAACCTTCTTCGTGTCGCACAAGTACACCAACTATTCAGCTGTGCAGGAGTTGCACAGGAAAGGCCATGAGATCGCCGTGTTTTCCTTGACGCACAAAGAGGACCCGAACTATTGGTCGCAAGGCTCTTATGATGATTGGCTGGCTGAAATGGCTGGCGCTCGATTGATTATCGAACGGTTTGCCAATTTGAGTGATGGTTCCATTATTGGGGTGCGAGCTCCGTACCTGCGAGTGGGAGGAAACCGGCAATTTGAGATGATGGCCGATCAGTTCTTTGTCTACGATGCCTCCATTACAGCCTCTTTGGGACGAGTCCCCATCTGGCCCTACACTTTGTACTTCCGCATGCCCCACAAATGTAATGGAAACGCCCACAATTGCCCGTCCAGGTCCCATCCAGTGTGGGAGATTGTGATGAACGAGCTGGATAGGAGGGACGATCCAACCTTCGATGAATCCCTGCCCGGTTGCCACATGGTGGATTCCTGCTCCAATATCCAGACTGGGGATCAGTTTGCTCGCCTCCTGCGCCACAACTTCAACCGTCACTTCAACAGCAACCGCGCTCCTTTGGGGCTTCACTTCCACGCCTCCTGGCTGAAGAGCAAGAAGGAGTTCAAGGAGGAACTGATCAAGTTTATTGAAGAAATGCTGGCTCGTAACGATGTATACTTCGTAACCAATCTGCAGGTGGTTCAATGGATGCAAAACCCTACTGAACTCAATGGGCTTCGCGACTTCCAAGAATGGAAGGAGAAATGTGATATCAAGGGCCAACCTTATTGCTCTCTCCCCAATTCTTGCGCCTTAAATACCAGGGAACTGCCAGGAGAGACTCTCAGGCTGTTCACCTGCATGGAGTGTCCCAACAACTATCCCTGGATCCTGGACCCTACTGGGGACGGATTTTCAGTTAGGAAATAGTTATTTATTTAAATCACAATCTACGAAAAGACTTTTGTATATAGTTGTATGTTAATTCTCTTCGGTTGGTGAGCGTTTAAAGTGGGTAGCTTGAACGTGTCGCGACAGTTCTTTCAACATATTCTCATGATTTTCTTGTTGAACAATAAATTTTATTAATAGGGCTTAGCATGTTTCAACAACCCCGAAAAATCCTTCATTATCATACATTAATAAGCGCATTAAGAGCTGAGGTCGGTGATAAAATTGAGCGCAGACATGGTTTTATTGGTTTCATGAAATCGTGTTGCCACTAGTAAAGCAGTTTTAGACTAATTGTGAGAAAACTGCACTAAGAAGTTCAGGAAACGCCGTTTTTGATTAAGGGATTTAATTTTTGATAAAGGCCACAAATCACATCGCATCACAGTCGAAGGCTCTGTTGGCTTCTCCTTCTCTCTACACTCTACACATGTGTAACCTAATCAACTAAACCCACTTGATGCATGAGATATGTACTTAATTAACCGCCCCTTATGCAACTAGCAATAAATATAATTAAACACTTCTCTTGTTCTTCCATTTGTAACTAATCAGATGTTCAATCTATGTCAGTGTCTCTTAAGCTTGGTGGCTTCTGGTGCTACAACAGTTCGTCGCCGTTCTACGTCAATAACCGAATTAATTTTCTCTATATTTTTATTCAACTTGATGTTTTCATTTTCACTTTAGTTGTCTACTTTCTATTCCGACTTGTATAAACATGTAAATATTGTACAAAAACGCCAATCAAACAGCAACAGCAGGACGTAGCGAAGCAATACATGGACGCATGGAACATGCGGATGGTTTACATTTGGGTTGAATCGCTTGGCTTGATGAAGGTTCAACTGGGTGAAGAATGTTGTTATTTTATCTTCAAGCTGGATGGAAATTCCGGTGTTCTACTAAGTTGGAAGCCTTTGTGCAGTCTCTATGAACTTTCTTCTTTAAGCTCTAAAATCACTTGAAGAAAGATGAGCAATAGATGACTTTTGGAGTATTAGCCCGTCGTCGATTGGAACTTGGCCCTAACGTTTCGCTAGCACGGATGGCTA